CAACTGAAAGCCAGATCCATACCAGGAAACCAACCAGTTCAGCGCTATAAACTGGTCAAGAATGCAACTAAAATGATCCCAGAAGCATGTTGATGGCAACTAAAAGTGTCTGGTTGAGGATATTTAATCACATATTATTGCTGGCCATTACAAAGAGTGCAGGTTTAAAACACCTTCAAATGGTAAGATCACATTTTTATTCAGAGTGGGACTGTTTCCTGGCAGGTGCGACTGTTTACATTACTGTAAAAATGAGATTGGGAAAATCTACTCCAATCTCTCCTCTGATATGACTCTTGGCTCAGAATGGGATACACATCTTTCTTAAAATGTCCATCATTTTTAAATACAGAAGTGTTAGTTTTACCTGAATCCCACACTAACCTCTGGATGTGAAGAAAAGGGGCGGGACCAAGAAGACAGAAGCCAATTGTAGCAGCGATTCCACCTGTCACCAAGACCGCCATCCTAGTGGCCTGGTGCACAAGATCAAATTTAATTTCAAAATCAACATATTCATTTATATTTTATCATTTTGATTGCTTGGATACATACAGGATATTTATCTGTGAAATACCCAATCAGCGGTGATGCCAGACAATATGGTAAAGATAAACCAAGCATTATTAGTCCCACGTAGCCATTTGAGAGACCGAACTAAGGATGATGGATAGGGAAAAAAAGTTGTTCATGCAATCCACATAAAATTCTACCAAACGTAAGCTAATTTGATTATAAAGGATATCATTACCCTGTTAATAGCAAACAGTGACAAAGTGGCATCCAAAAAGCCCAGACCTGCACTGAGAGTGAATACCACGTAGCAAACCAGGATTGTTTTCACGTGGGTGAGTAGTCGAAAGAATGAATCCTTCGATGGGACTGCCTCTGAGACGAGGGAAGCACAAAATACGGCTCAGTTATAATGTGAGAAAAATGAAAAAACACAAAATGGCAACTTTCAAATGGACAAATAATACACCCAAATCTTATGTTTTACATACCAATGGACGGCAGGACGTAAATGTTGAAAGGAACCATAATCAACAGCAAGCATCCAAGACTTAAAAAAGGGACATCGTAACCAAAAGACTGGTAGAGCCACCCTCCCAGTGGTGGTCCCAGGATAAGGCCGAGTCCTGTGAAAATCTCCAAACTACCCTAAAACAGTAGTGACCCAGATTACTATACTGTGGGAATTTCTTACACCATAGCCAAGAGCCAGTTGTTTTCTGGAGATACATAACAACTTAAACCTATAACGGTCGTTCTGTTTTCTCGTGATTCTAATGTCTAAACAGCATGCCAGTCTGACAAGTTTGTCCACCCTCACCAAAACAGTTGCCACATTGTTTGGGAATATTTTTGCAGTCATGGCGAAAGCAGATGTCATAGCAGCTCCAAAGCCGACAGCGTCAAGCGACCTCACAATAAAGCACAGACTGATGAATATAGGTCCTGCAGGAGCCCGATCAAGAAATCTGCAAAGGAAACAAGCGCCAGCAAGTGTCAAACAGAATAGAAAGATGAAAGGAAATGCAGATGAAATAAATAAGCTCAGAGGAACTGCGTATGATCTGAAACAAAGGTGATTGTGCCATGGTCTCTGGGTCTTAAACTCGTAGTTTTTAGTTTTTCACTTTACGGTTTTTCTCATTTTGTATTTTGGGCTATATTTGGATTAGGGTTCTGTATTCTTGCTATTTTTACTGTATTCTAGCTTTCTAGTCACATTGTTATTTCTTTGTTCTTACATGTCCTATTTATTTCCTGATGTTCCTTATATTGTTATTATATGCCCTCGGTTCTTAGCTTAATCCACTTTTGATTCCATTCCTCCGATCTTATTTCTGTATTTGTTTTTATTTTCTCCCGATTCAGTTATATCTCTTTCCTTGTTTTATTTTGGTGATTATTGTTGGTGATTGGTGATTAAATCTCTCTTTCCACCTGTTACTTCTCCCCTTGCTATCTTATGTCATTATCTTTCCCCTTGAACTTTGTTATATTGTCACAGTTTGTCCTAGTTTGTTATGCCTTGCTTCCTGAGTCTTAGATTTGGGTCCACAATCTGCCTGCTTGAGAGCTGCTATACTGGATTATAACTGTGTACTTTAATTATCGGTGAATTCCTGGACTCCTTCTTAAGCGGCGTGGCACAGTAGTTTTTAGAAAATTTGCCTACACAAGTTTGGATCTATTTTCTCCTGTGGATTAATAAAAACTTGTTACAGTGATGAATATTTACAGCAGCCCAACATGTATATGGGGATAACACTAAATACACAACTCTGTACTAAACATTGTGGCTAATGTGTTTTCATTCTGTTCATTCAGCACAAAAAATATTGTTTGTTACATTAATAAACATCTGTGAGAAATAATAACGAGAAAATGTTTTTTCCAGCTTCATCTTTATCATAGTTATTATTTTTTAGCATAATATTATCATAATACGAAACACAGATCACTTACCCAAATATAATAGTGCAGCACGATGATACAAAAAGTCCTGCAATAAGCATGAACTTTGCACCAATCTGGACAATCTGATACACAAAGAATGGGTCAGCTGCACTGTTACAGACTCTCTGGTTACACCTGTGCTCCAAATTGCCATGCACATGGCATGAAATCAAACACTATACTCACATATTTTCCCAGTACCAATGAACCAATTAGATTGGAGACAGCATAACACCCAAATATGAGACCAACTACAGTCTGACTGGCTCCTTTCTTCACTGCCTAAATATCAAAACAGGACAACAGATAAAATTAGGGGATTTACATAACAGCAACAAAAACAACAAGGATAATGAAAAGTGAATCTCAAAAATAACGTATAAACTATAAATATATGAATAACCCTGACATGAAATTCAACTTTTTTTTAAACAATCGAGCGTTTATTGAACCTCCTGACAAATTAAATACGTAACATATTTGAGTTTAAATTTTTATTACATTTGCTACATCTGGTATTTTTATTTATTTAATGCATTTAATTTATTGCTTAAAACTGTATTGTGTAATTTATTTTAGATTTTTTGAGGAGGAAAAGAAAAGAAATCACACTGATGATGTATCAAATGTCCCCCCGCACATGTATCAAATATGATAAAGTAGGCATTACAATGTTAAGGTGACAAATGTCTTTTTAACTAGCCAGCTTGTTGTGCCACTCTTTTCAGACATTTGCATTTCTAGCTCCTGACAGACCTTAAGTTGAACGGCTGATTACAAAAGAGCCAGTCTTCACTGGCCTTCAGGGAGGATGTCTGTTGGTAGCGCATGACTACTCATTCATTCCCTTCAGAAGACATTATTGAGTTCTTAAGGTAAACAATAGCATAATCTGTGAACTGTACAACTACATGGGAGCACAAATACGTTTCCTACTGCTAGAAAAGATTTGTTTGCAGATATGACTTGTATGTATGAGAGAACGTGTTTTATTTCTTCAGTCAAAAGCTGCATTCACAAGCTAAGTTTTAAAAATTTTAATATCTTGAACCTTTAACCTCTTGTGCTGTAACATGTGATTTGTACCCTATGATGCTGGCTTCCTTGAGCTTACCTCGGTGGGAAAAAATGGGCCCAATATTGAGTAGCAAATCATAGAGCCAAAGTTGACAGACGCCATTGATATTAAAGTGAGAATCTCTTTCCTTGTGAACCTCTGAGGAGGATCTGTTGATTCAGCTGTGGTGTTGTTATCTGTGTTGTTATCTGACATCTCTGAAGAGAAAACGGGAGGAGAAACATGAATAATGCGATTAGGCCATGCTGAGTTGAAAGAACATAAAGTTCGTGGTTAAAATTATCGCAGTGATAAGGGAATAAAGTCAAGAGAAGTCAGCTATATTGAGCTGAGTGACTGCCAACAGTTTTATTTTATTGATTAATTTTTTTACACAGCGTACAAAGGTCACAAACCTGTCGTCGGAAGATCGGGATTCTGGTCCATTTTTAACATCCGGTGGCTGAGAAATGCAGACGATGACAGAAGAGTGAAAAAGCATAGGGTAAATCCTGACAGCACCAGCCGCGAAGTAAATGCCTCTGACAGCCTCCTCCGCTACAAGCGACTACAGTCATGTGCATGGTCTACCCGGAGCACTTCCAGACTTCTTCTTCTTCTTAGTAATAACTTAGTCCCATCCCATTACTGCCCTCCGCAGTTTGACATATTAAACTGCTATTTTATTGGAAACTCGAATTGTAATAGTCGTCGCACAATTAAAGTACTAGTAATACTAAGTACCAATCGAGGGCTCTGGTAGAAACTCAATGAATGTTTTTTTATGATGGCCAAACAAAGTTTTAACAAAAAATGAAAAAAAAAAAATCTATAAATGTAGTTTAAATATATACAAACAAACCTTTATGTTAAGCATCACTTAGGTTTATGCTAAAATCTCCGACTACAGTTGATCTCTGATGCTAATACTGATGAATCTGACAGCAAATTGCTTGTACCTTTTAACATTTTTAAAGACCCCTTTAAAACATAAATATGCGTACTTTTTTAATGCAAACTGTAGCTTAATGCTATTGCCTACAACAATGACTATAACCACAACTATAATGTATTTTAAAGGTAAGTTGTGTTTTTGTTTTAGGCTAGATCCCTATTTACTTAATTTGATGGATCTTATCAAAGCACAACATGGAGGTTACTCCTTGGCCTCTCAGCAAGAAGATCCTGGGAACCCTTCTGTGTGGAGTTTCCACATGCTCTATGTCTTTCTCCCTCAGTCCAGGTTTTTCCCTCAGTCCAAAGACATGCGTTTTAGATTAATTAGTGATTCTCTGCGAAATGTAATGTAAATGTAAAAGTAAATAAACAAATTTAAATGTTTTATATCTACAATTGCATTAATATTTCTCTCACATTTAATGGAAAGTGAAGAGGGGTCTTTTGCAATCACTTCCATTGCATTAGTTAGTAAAAGATCTAATATGAAAAAGAAATAAAATAAAAACAACAAAAAACATTTTGGAACCATAGATTTTTATTCCATTTTGGCCAGCTTATAGGTCCCCAGAAAACCTACAGTCATATTTTTCTTTTCATCACAAAATAAGAGAAAAACAATCAGGCAGCAAACCATTCGGTTATTAGGCAGTATTGCTGATAATAACTGACACGCACTGTTGCTAAAATCTCTGAAGCTGCACTGAATAAAAAAAGCTGAAATGAAAACATCTGCACCAAATGTTCTGTAACTTTTTGCAAAATACTTTCCAGTTAAAATAAACTTCTAAAAACAAGTGACAGATTTCCAGATATGATCACATTTTTTTCTTTATACAATAGCACCAAATCTACATGAATCTGACTCCCACTAATGGGTCATCTCTAGCAACTTATGAGTATGTTGTAGTTAATAGCTCTGCATGTTTATGCTCTCATTCTTTTTTCTGTAACATCAACAAAAAAAAACAAAACAAAAAAAACAACTCAAGGTGCAATGTTAAAGCAAAGGTGAAATACAAAATTATTCAAATTAGCAACATACACACATATTTTTCTAAGCACATAATAATGTTAGGTCACTAAATACACAGCGCAAGCAGCATTACATTTTCTTTTGCAGGTACGACATTAAGTTCTGTGTAGGTAGCATTATTGCACACAAGCTCTATCTAAAGCAGCACTGGTTTCCAAAATAGGCAAACTACTGTACTTCACATTCAAATGCAGAATTCAAGTAGCATCATAAACACCCAGTGGAAACAAAACAGAGCCAACCAAGTGAATTTGATTGAAAAGATCTTAATCGTTACTGTGTAGATTTATTCTGGGTGACATGAGATCTACATGACATCATTTTCTGCTAATTTTCTAGCAGGCATCCTTTCAGCCAAATGCCTTTGGCTGGATATGGCACCCATAGACTTACTGTACACGATTACTGACAACTGTATCCACAATAGTTGATTCTGAAATCAACAAGGAAATAGAGAATAATGTTTCTTCAATCGAAATGTGTTTCAATTTACAAGTGGAAAAATGAACACACCGTCAGGTGTTGAATAGGTTGAATGTACAGAGGCCAAAATAATACGATTAACTATGTTCATTGCAGCACTTCATGGAAGTAGCATGAAGAGAAAATATATAAACTATGGCAAACTGTACTCAACTTTTCATGTTGCAGCTACCAAATTTATATATCCCTCTATTGCATGTTCAGCAAATTGAACATAATGTTGAAGACATTCAACTGAAAAAAATTCCAAATGAGATTATAAATAAATGTAATTAAATACCTATAAGTGTGATATAATAAAACTGTATAATATATCTACTTATTTCTTAATACGGATTTAAAATAGTGCAGCCTTTATATAACACACGGTATGGCTTAGTGAACGTGTATATAAATTTTGAATGCCACTTCAGACTTATATATTTGCTGTGCTTATTTCTTTATAAACACGACAAGGTTATTAATTTGCAGTTCGATAGCGAGATAATGTGTTTGATACTACAGATGGCACTAAACCTCCAGACTGCTTTTAAAAGTCACTGCAACATAAGTTAGTTAGGTTTGTTTTCTTTAATCTAATATATACCATATCATAATAATTATAATACTTTGACTACATGACTACATTTAATATATGAACTAGAAATTATGGATTCACTTAAATCTCTTTCATCAACACCAACCTGGAGTGACTTTGCCCTAAACACACTGATTGTAAATTGCCTCCATGTGCAAGACTAGCTTGTACATATATTAATCTCTTCTAAGTAAAACAGGACATTTTCTCCATCGTAGCCCCACACGTTGGAAGGTAAGACCACTCAGCTCTGTTGAGTTAGTGCACAGCAACACCAAATGACCTTTTCACTTCAGCCTCTGAGTCACATTTGCCAAGGCGACAGCAAATGCTTGCACGGCTGAGAAAGGATACTGGAAATCCAAGATATAAGCATTTCCATCTATCCGCCCAAACTGCATCACCTAAAAAATTGTAGAAGAAGAAGATATTTCAGAAAGAAAGCAGTAACCAAAACATAAGCATCGTGAAGCTGCTTTTTTTAAAGCTAAAGCCCAAAGATGTACAAGATGATGTCACACGTGTTTGGTGTTTTTGCTTTAAGGGCTGAAGCAAAAATAGAAAAATAGAAACCCCTGTGAGATGAAGAGACAACTCATTTTTAAATTCACTAATGTTGCTTATCATTACCTGTCTACCATCCAGTTCGATCTGAAAATTCTTTGCTGACTCCTGGGTGACTCGACCTCCAAAGTCAAGCTGGTACACCTGGGTGGCCTCATTCCACAGTGGCTGTTTGTTGGCCATAACGTAGACAAACCCTTGGCTGCCTAAACTACGGTCCTCCCTTTCATTTGCCTTGCGACACTTTATCTCCTCCAGCTCACTTGCCATACGCATGCTGCGCTTGTTCTTCCAGCTCTTCTTACTACTCTGGTTCTGGTTCATTAGCTCGTCACCGCTAATGAAGAGCTCTGGCTCACTCTCTGAGCTATCCTGAAACTCATTCGTGGTCCTGTTCATTTTCTTTGTTTTATTAAGTTGTTCTCTCTGCCCCTTTGGCTTCTTTTTCTCTCTGCTACCAAGCCTCGGGCTCGCAATGAGAGTGTTGAAATCAGACAGCGCACGCCCTTCCTTTCTGGATTTGCCCTCAGACACAGTGGGCATGTTGGCCTCCTCTGCCCGGCTGTCAAGCCTTTTGCGGCTCTTCTTGTTGAAGCGCTCTGACTCTTGTGGGACAGGGCTTTCATTTAAGGATGATGGCTCTGGAAAGTTATTGGCAGATTCTGCGAGATCTTCTGTGGCACTTTTGGATGGTGGCAACTCGGTAGGTGGGGGAGGAGGGGGAAGAGGAGGTGGGGGAGGTGGTGCAGTAGGAGGAGGCGGGGACAGTATTGGCTTCTCCAAAATCTGGTGAGTTTTGGTCGGGAGTGGAGGCGCGGGAGGATCTTGCATGGGCGGTGGGCAGGGGTAAGGGTTCCAAGGGTGGAGGCTGACCGGGTGCAGTTGGAGTCCGGCACATGAGCTTGCTCCTGGGTACAGAGGAGGGAGAGGACAGCAGGCCAAGTTGGCCAGATTTGGGGGGTAGCCCGGTGGCAAGACCAAATTGGGGTCCTGCTGAGCAAAAGGGACAGGAGCGACCACTTCATTTGGAGAACACTGTTGCGGAGGGTTTTGCAAAGTCTGAAGTGGGGGTCCACTGTGACCCACCCCTGGAGGAAAGGGTGACAGGGATATCTGGTAACCTGATGGAAACGTAAGAGTGCTTGTGCTCGGACTGGTTGGAGGTTTAGTTGTGAGGACAAAGGGAAGCCGAGTCACATCAAGGTGCTGAGCTTGACTGATAATAAGGGGAGGCGGTTTATGAGGTGGGGGAGCTAACATTGTTTGATCCGGGGTGAGCCAGAAATCTTCTGTGGCGGAGGTGTCCCACTGGTAAGGCGGAGGGCGTTTTACTGTCAAACTGACATCACCAAGAGTCAGCTGACGTACTGATTTTTCAAGGTGACACTGCTGATTTAAAGTCTCGTCCTCAGTAAATGCAGAGTTAACATACACTGTTCTGTCCCGACTGTTGTCAACGCCACCCAGTAGACTGTAAGATGACTGAGATGCCATTGGAGAGGCATTTTTGGAGTGCACTATAATGGTACTGTGATGCGCACCTTTCCCTGATGGGAAGTCCTGCCTCACCACCGTTCCACCTGCAATACCACTACTGGTAGTTCCACCTCCACTGACACTAACACTGGTGCTGCTGCTGTTACTACTGCACTGTGTGCATGTGTATAAGGCAGTGGGCACCCTCTGCTGGTAGGAAAGGGCTAATGCACTGTTCATTTTAGCTTTAGTAGGTAGTGTCCTTGAGCTGTCCATCATCTGTGGCACTTTGAGGCCCACATCCCTTCGTTCACGACGTAGAGTGGCATGAATGAGGCTGCTATCAATTCTCTGGGGAGGAGGAAGTGTAGCTGTTACCTGATTGGCTGGATCAGGGTAAGGAGGGGGGTCTCCACTTGGTATTGTGTATCGAGGGACAGAAAGACGACTTAATGTTGCTGAGCTGTATGGAAGCTGAATTTTTTTATTCTCTGAGGAAGTGACTTTGAGGGTAGCTGAGCCCCCAATGCTGTGCACAGCGTATGCATTCTGGTTGCGAATGAGGCGCCTTCGTGGCCGACACACCTCCTCCACATTGCCACTGCTGTCAAAGGTCGTGATCCTTTCATACCCAAGAGGTGTTGGGTACTGTAAGGTGACAGGATGAAGCAAAAATTCATCCTTTTTCAGGCAGGGGTCCGGTGCCAGGATACTTGGGCTGTCACAGTTTGTGATGAGAGTTTGAGGAGGAGCAGCAGCTGAAGCTGCTGCTGCAGACACTACAGTCCCAGGGTACGGAGGAGGGGGATTTATTTTCCTCATCTGAATCTCTACAGACCCATCTGTATCGTTAAAGGAGGGAGGTAATGTACGTGGCAGACTTGGCTTCAGAGTGTGTCCATGGTCTCCCCTGTCGAGCCCTGGCTCAGTGGTGGGAGGTGGCATCTGGGGAAGAAGATGAATCTGTTGCAAGGAAATGGTTGGATAGCCAGATGGAGGAGGGGGCAACGACATTTGGATCTTCAGTTGCTGCTGCATTTGTTGATGCTGCCTCTGCATTTGTTGATGCTGCTGCTGGATCTGCTGATGCTGCTGCTGGAGCTGCTGCTGCTGCTGCCTCATCTCTTGGATCTGTTGTCGGATTTGCTGCTGCTGCTGTTGCATCTGCTGCTGCTGCTGCTGCATTTGCTCGTGCTGCATCTGCATCTGCTGCTGCTGCTGTTGGATCTGCTGTTGCTGAAGCTGTTGGTTCGTCACTTGCTGTTGCGCTTGTTGCATTTGTTGATGTTGCTGAACTTGGTGTTGCTGATGTTGCTGTTGTTGATGTAGCGTCTGCTGGTGGTGCAGCTGCTGTAGTTGCTGATGCTGCTGCAGCTGCTGTGACTGGGATGGGTGATGGTGTTGCTGTTGCTGCTGTTGCCCCTGCTGGTGGTGCAGCTGCTGTAGCTGCTGGTGTTGCTGCTGCTGCAGCTGCTGCTGTTGCTGCAGCTGCTGCTGTGATTGGGACGGGTGATGGTGTTGCTGTTGCTGCAGTTGCCCTTGCTGCTGTTGATGATGGTGCATTTTCTGCTGCTGCTGTGTCTGTATTTGTTGTGACTGTTTAGATGGCTGCTGGCGAGGCTGCTGTGAATGAGAACGCTGTGAATGAGGCTGTGGTGGGAGATGGTGAGGTGGAGGTGGGGGAGGTAAAGTGCCAGGGAGAAGAGGACCCATCTCCAACCCGTTGAAGATCATCTGACCAGGGCTGGTGTATCTAGTTGGCACGGGATATGGTGACGCAACAGCATCCTGACCATGATCAGTGACAGGGACAGAGGCTGCTGCTGCTGCAGCTGCTGCTGCAGCAGTGGCGGTCGGGTTGGTCAGAACATCAAGCTGAATATTCTGATTGGCCAAAAGAGACTGAACCAGACCAATACTCTGAGTTGGGGACATGGCTTGAGCTGGGCTGTGGATGGGAGCAATGGGAATGTTGACTGTACATGGAGGATTGTCTCCAGCCACTCCAGATGGCCCCATCACTATATAAGAAGACAGAGAAGAAGAGTTTAAGCGACTTAGGATGATAATAAACTGATGGGCATGCAAACTAATTTATTTGCATCTTTTTGGATTTCCTTTTTACCTGGTAAGTCATCCTCATCCTCGCTGAACACATTGGGGTTGAACACCGGCAGACTCATAAAGTCATGAGAAATCTTTCGCACTTCTGGAAGGTAGATTGTCATCTGTCTCGGTTGCAAATGAAGCAAACTGGTCTTATAGATGACTGAAAAAGAAGAAAATAGAGTTGACTCGAGAAGGAAAAAGAAAGTAACTTTTGAGTAAAGTCATGTATATGCGCTGCTTTTGTTTTTTACCTGCGCCAAGATTCGTGGGGAGGAACGAAGCAAGTCCCACAATTTTGAATTTTGTCCCCCAAATATTAGATGTCACTTGTGCAAGGTAATTGTGCTGTGAGGCAGAAAATTGAAGATAAGGGGGGAAAAGTGAATAATAAGTGTGAAAGCTTTGCTGCTAAGCACATGTGAACCTACTTCCAGCACACTATTGACTGTTATAGTCCATGATAAATAATTAAACTGATGACAGTGCCCCTTCGCTAGTTTTCCCTCCTGATTTTCCCCTGCCCTGCTGCCTGATCATGGAGCAAATGCACACCTACATGTAAGAGATAATCAAGTAAAGAGTGTAATCTGGGTTTAAAAAACTTAAATAGAAGCTAAAGCAGTTAATTATCTGCAGCTTCACAGAGTTAACTACAGCAGAGCAGAGTCCTTAAAGGCTGCACACATCTGCTCACTTGGCACATCAGCAGAAACTTAAATTTGTGTACCTTACTTTAAATGTTGCTGAAGTAGAGACAAGATTAATGTGGACCTAACAATAAATCACAGTCTGTATTTTTCTTTACCTCTGACAGGTGAGCATATATTCTACAGTCAAATCATTTGTTACACAGTGGCCATCATCCGTTTGAGTGCTGAACTTCATCATAGCAGTTGGCTGCCTAAACTAAATGCTTTTCTTCTACCCATGGATGGATGTATTGATAGTTCAGGGGGCTGGAGGCTATCCAAGCTGCCACAGGGCGAGAGGGTACACCCTGGACAGGTCACCAATCTGTTTCAGGGCTAACACAGAGAGACACACAACCATTTGTGCTCACATTCACCAGAATCACCAATTAATCTAACCCCGCTAAATGCATGTCTTTGGACTTCAGAAGGAAGCCAGAGTACCTGGAAAGAGCCCAGAGCATGCAAACACAGAAAGGCCATGGCCAGATGATGGATTTGTGCTGTAAGGCAACAGGGATAACTGGCCTATGCTGCCCTAGATAAACAAATATTTTTCTTTTTTTTAAAGCTTAAATTCAAAGTCAGTATTTCCACTATGGCAGTAACTGTGAGTTTGCCAATCATTAAAGGATCTTAAAGAAATATGGCAGCCCAGTAACAAAGAAAACATATTGTAACATAAGTTTCTGTGAATTACACAGTGATGATAATGCAGGTACTACAGTATTACTAGCTAATGAGCATGAGCTGTAATACTTGGCAGTACATATACTTGGCAGGTCATTACCTCCGTAATTCCATCCATAGAAAACTCACGCCGTGTCAGGCTGGGTGACCGAACGGGAGGCTTCTTTGTTGGTAGGCGTGGTGATCGCTGACCTTCTTGATTGGCACGTGAAAGTTTGGGAGATTTTCTTGATTCCATGTTCAACCTTTGAAACAAAGACACATTTTTACACCTCATAAAATCACTTGGAATGATGAAAAAACATTGCTGGAGAAAATGTGCAGAAAAATAAAAAAAACATTTATATAACTTCAGACGTGTTTTGGTGACCTGTTTCCGCGAGATAACTTTGGTGACTTCTTCCCGACCCACTCATCGCTCAGCTCAATGTCACTGGAGTCAGAGCAGTTACAGCTGTCGGTGTATGAGATCATGGGATTGACGCAAACTTCCTCTGAAAGAAGCACAGCAAAGAAAAATAAGAAATAAAGTTGAGCTTGAACAAAATATCTACAATACACCCACTAACATGCCAGTAATGGGCAAGCTCTGCATGAATAACATTAAATGTAACACGAGTGCAGCCAGGTCACGATATACTCTATTCCTGTATCAGGCCCCAGACCATGTTGCATCAGAAAACAACACTCATCACCACACTCTGTACTTGTTCTTCCTCAAGGTGAATGACGAGCGCACAGCACAAATATGCACAAAAACAAGGTGCATACAGAATGACCCTGGGCAGGTCTATTTTCTGTTCCACCCCTAATGCATTTTGTGGTTACTTTGGTTCATGACCATTCCAAACTGTGCAGAGTTTTCACTGCAGCTAAAGACAAAATGAATAGCGACTTTTAAAAGATTTAGGTGAAGTGCTTTCTTTCAGGTCTAAACCCACCTGCCTTGCCATCAGTTTTTGGATCCATAATAACAAACTCGGGCCGAAGTTTACTGATGCGCCTTCCTTTGAGAATAGGCACCAGTCCTCCTAAATATTCTAGGTACAGCGTGTAGCAGGGTCCGCCTGCTTCAGGACTGTCCTCAGCTCGCTTCATGGTGCAGTGGAGCCTTTCGTTCCCTGCTGTGGGATAGCTGACAAAGTCGCGGATGTTGTTGGGGTCAGGAATTGGGGGCTAGAACAAAGAAAGGAAGGAGCTGTAAGACTGCTGGACACTCAAATGAAAACATGCCCCTGTCAGCAATTTTCCTTTACTCGCTGTGCAATAAAGTTGGTAAGAAACCTATCTCTGACAGTCACTGCACACTAATGAAACAGGGATCATTGCACCGCAACGGTGTATATGAAAAGCAGTGGTGAAAAGCATCACTAACACCTGACCATCTGCTGTACCAAAAAAGACCTGATGCAGGATTGCACATTAAACTTTAATACCTTGATGGTGGGGATAAAAGCAGTGGTGACATAAGAGCAGAGAAGCGAGGGCATGTTTAGTTTCCCGACATCTTTCTCCTCTCGCAGGGCACTGGCAATGCCTTGCTGGCATAAAAGTTGGAGGCTGGCCACCCTGTGCTCCACACGGACCACATAGAGAGCTGGTCCACATGCGAGGAACAGACGGGAATCTCTGTGACCCCAACAAATGGTGGTGATGGGCCTCTGAAAAAGAACCACTGAGAATAAGAAACTTCCTGCCGACGTCAATAGCAGAGCAGGTTCGCTAGTTTCTGTTTTATGCTACTTCCTATTGTTGACTTAGAGCTGGAACAAAGGTTAACACCCTTTAGGTCAGATTACAAAACAAACAATCTACACCCTTGTATCTGGCAAAGTGTCAATCCTAATCTTTGTTGTAGTTTGCTTTCAAGAATGTCTGAAAATGTTTAACAATTGAAAGACAATTTCTACTAATTGGTCCTCACTTGTGTGGATTTCATGAAATATGACACAAGGTTTATGTTCATTATTATAATTTTTTTAAGCAAGACATCTATCCCTTAATTTATGAAGGACTAACCTGCGCCGGTGTCTCCAAAGTGTAGATGTGTTCACCTTGGACATTATAAAACTTAACAAGGGCATTTCTCATGATGGATGCACAAGCTGAGTCAGAAGGGAGCCCATGTCTCTCCATGCCAGCCACAGCCAGGAGGTCTCCCTGGGAGCACCACTGGGCCTCGACGTCTTTGGTGTAAAGAAAAAGGGTATTTACTTCACATGATTAACAGTATATATCACTAAACTTGCAAATTAACATACTTATGTTCAGAGTTCATACCTTTAAGCCCTGAGCGAATTATACTAGGAGAGAGGTCATCATAGTTATTCATCAAACTGATATCTCCTGATAAGAAGGTGACAGTCAACAGAGGCTTAACTCGCCGCACTTGGAGGAAGAAAGAAAAGTACACATGTGAGTCTTCCTCAGGCAACACTTATAACTAAGTTACATGAGCCGAAGGGCAAACCGGTTTAGTACCTAAAGGCAGAATATTGTCATCGGAGTCTGTGTCGCTCTCCGTGCTGTCCTCGACTAGGAAATCGGGGCAATTCCAAGACATGCTCACAATCCCATCAGACTCGTGTAACAGAACATGGGCAAGCATCCTTCCGTGACAGTCCATCACAATTACCTGACCATCTGCTGTTCCAAACAACACCTGAGGGGACATTGCACATTAAACTTTAATAGTTGATTAGATAAACAAACAAACCCATTTCACTCACTCACTTCAAGATTATGACATTATTCCACAACACCTTTACATTTTTGAATTATACGTAATTGTAATTATCTTTTATGTAGTACAAATTCAGCCAAACATAGGTACCTGCTGATCGTCAGGGGTCCAGATGCCACAGGTGATCTGGCTCTCCAGATTAATCTCAGAGGACCAGTGTCTTTGACCGCTGACCGAGCCGACTAACACAAACCCATCTCTGTATGCAATGAGGGCTTGAGTGCCATCATGGGACCAAGTGAAGTCACTCACCTAATTTAAAGATTTGTATCATTAGTGTAATTACACAAGAGGTCAGCGCCAAGACGATAGAGCCTTTCTGTTGCATCAGTTGGAGTACAAGCGTGTTAAATACCATAAAGATGGAAAACAAAGCAATTTTAGCTCATATTTGCAAAAAAAATTCCTGTCTACCTGGGCTCCTCTGTCATTCACTAACTCCACAGACCATCTTCCTTCATACTGAATCCACACAAATATGCCTCCTTCCATATCGCAAGTTGCCAGCTTCTGGAAGGGTTCATTCCAGCGCACCAAGACAACCTGCAAATACCCCAAACACCATCAGCTTTTTTTCACTAGCAGAGGAACATTCATCGATATAAAAGCTAATGTAGTTCAAAGAAAAATCAACTTACAGAGAGGAAAAAAATAATGTAAATGTGTCTAAATATTAATGGCACACAATAATGAAAATGCACTCTGTTCATATAGCATTTTAATTTATTTAAATGTAATAAAAATTAGCATTTCAGCGAGATGAATCATTTTACAAAGTATGCTAATGCATAGTCTCTGTAAATATAGTGTGCATTTAACCCAATTTAGTTCTGTAATATGCAGGATTGTTTTGTTTTAATTTATTTATTTATTCAAACAGTAATTTCTTGATTTTACTCTGCTGTTGCAAAAGTTCCTTTACGAGTGGGCTGGATCAGTAATAAGATCATTGTTTTAGTTGTGTAAAATGAAAGAGCAGAGGTCAAATTCTTATTTATACATTCAACTCATTGCAAAAAAAGAGAAAATCCCACCTCGCTGTTGTGTCCTCGCAGGTTAAAATTGATTCTCTGAGGTGTACTTCTATCCCTCCTGCAGTGACTCGATGTAAACGTCACCCCAACGACTCCTCTCCCATTCCCTGTGGCGAGCCAACCCTCCTCATAGTACCGTCTCCGGCACACTGGCTTGTCCTTCTCACTCTTGGGGACCCGGCCTTTCCACGAGAGGCAGAGGATGTTGGAGTCGCTGCAGAGGATGGGACCATGTTCCACGGCGGCCAACATCCCTACTGATTGACCAGGCTGGCAAGCGAAACAAAGAAAGAGAGTTTCAAATAACACCATGCTTTCAATTGTAATAAAGCTAGATAATGAACGTTTTCAGTTTATGTCAGTGTGTGACTCTGCATTTACTTAAAACTGCCTTTTCAGTGAAGCTCAGGGCATTCTGGTATGAACACTGTCATGGTCAACAGGAAGCTCGGCTGTGGTTACTAATGTAAAATATGAAATAGTTTAGATTAAAAGCTTATTGACCTTTGAAACACAAGATGACAGAACAATCTCAATACAAGATCCAAGCTTTCCTGATGCTTCCAGTCATATCATACAATCTTAATGGGCAGTTGCTGTTTGCCCGGTACAAATTTCCTTCTTTTCTGAGCACTTCTGGACCTTGGCAGTTCATTCAAAGGCCTTTTTAGGGTGGAGTTTAAGCAAAGCAGCTACAAAGATTGAACTTTCAACATCAGCTTTAAGGGTGATTTTGGAAAGAAGTCTTTAATGTAAAGAGAGAAAAACCGGATTTTCAATATATACAAAGATAAACAAGGGGCTAGTGCAGGGGTGGGCAATCTCAGTCCACGAGGGCCGGTGTCCCTGCAGGTTTTAGTTCTCACCTGAATCACATGATTAGTTCGTTACCAGGCCTCTGGGGAACTTCAGGACATGTTGAGGGGCTAATTTAGCCATTTAAATCAGCTGTGTTGGTTCGAGGACACATCTAAAACCTCCAGGGACACCGGCCCTTGTGGACTGAGATTGCCCACCCCTGGGCTAGTGATATAATCACAAATATGGTGAGACTTTTCTGTATAAAAATAAAAACACAGCTTTGTGTATGTTCCTTTTACACAGAGATCATCAAGATGAGTCACCTATGTTATCAAGTTATGAGCAGAGAGTTGGTTCAGCTTTAAAATGTTGCCTCCCAGAGGCGTAAATTTGCATGTTAAGAGAAAACCCCTGAAAAAACACCCAATTAACGAATTCATGGATATCAGTGGGCATCATCTTCCTGAGCTTATGTGCAGGTACCAGACTGGCGAGTGAAACCAGGCACTTACATGATTTACAGGTTCTTTGATAAATTCCATCCTAATGATTTTCATTTGTGAACAGACTTTACGCAAGTACACAAGTGAATCACCAAATGTGCTCTGACACCAGTAAAATCACGATGTCTGCTGCTCATAGTGTTCTAGCTGTTATTCTAGTATTCACTGTCCGTGGAGTGGCTCCAGGATTTGTCTCTAGATTACATCATCACGACAGTCTGTGTTTTATCTTCATATTCACAAACTGAAAATGAGAGGAGGACTAGACATGTGAATTGCAATTTAGGGCACAAATATGCAAACCACAGTGTATTTTTAAATCCTGTCTCCACAACGTAGGTTAGACACATTTCATTTTTGGGCGCATTCATTTTGCAACCTTCCTACTCATTTGGATTTACATGAAAATGTCTGAAAGAGCTCACTCACATAGATATCGTAAAGATTTCCCACATTAGCCCTGGAGGACCTTTAAAATGCTATTTTAACTCTTTTAGGTCAATGCTATTCTATAATACTAATTTCACTGAACACAATATTTTACAAGTACGACAGAAACAAATCTAGTCTGGTTTGCTTTTAGTTTTTGGGTGTCTCTTCTGCAATTTAAAATCAAGATCTGTTTATGAACGGTTTAGATCCTACGTGGTATCGTCTAGCACACTACATAATAGGTAATAGCATTTTATAATATGGCTAATTAAAGCGAAAAATGACATTCAAGTTAGTCTGGCAGCACATAAATATAAAAAATACCTCATAGTTCCTGGACATGTTGAGTCAAAATTCCTCCATTGAAGGTGTCCATATTTCCATTCAGATGGTGCACTGGAGGGTAGTGGCTGCTCTGCTCTTGATACTTACAATAAAATCTACGGGGAAGTAAAATGCATCATACAGCCAAATGGTGTCCAGCTCTACATTCACCCAAATCAAGCAGCTCTACGCTCCAGAGTTTGCCATTAAATGACTTGAGGCTTCTGTGCCAGTAGCCCATCCCATGTCTTCCTGATGTGGCTCCAGAGAGTTGTGCAATCCTGTTGCAGTGAAGATGAAAAAAAGAGGAAAAGAGGAATTTTGTTATTCAACAAGTAAGGTAATCAGAGAGAGAAAGAGAGAGAGAGAGGTGGTTTTTGCTTTAAATAGCATCCTTGTCATTCAGTGCATCAACCTTGAAATTCACAGTGTTTCTCAGTCTCTATGCAACAGCAACACTGCATTGGAGACCAAGGCACTCGCAGTCTCCATGGGTACTGATACTGTCTGTTCCTTTCCACCACAGCAGCAGCAGCAGCAGCCAGGCAAGCATAAGAACTAAAATGCCCAATATTTTACACGAAGCAGACCCAAAACATATCATAGTGTAGCTAACAATAATATAATTGCATCTTATGACTCAAACTCAGGTTTGAGACTTTAGCACCCGATTACAGTCGAAATAAATTACCCATCCTTTCCTTTATAAAGGTCTCCCACTACATGACACATTACATCAAATGATTTTCCCATTCAAAGGCGTCTCACCGCATGCAGTAGTCTGAATGATTGAGCGCTTACGAGACAAAAACAAACTGCGGTGGTAAATGAATGTATTCATTTATAAAAGCGACTGTGGGGAGAAAAATATATCCTATATGTTGTACGTACCTGACACCGCTGTAATCACGTACTAATCCAGATGTAGTCGGCGCACAGTGCGGTAGTGTTGCCAGGCACTTTTCCGCTGGCGCACTTTGGGGTTGTGGCTTTAACGCGGGTTGCCATGAGGCAGGTAGCACGTAAAATAGACCAATGTTTTCAAGTTAGTACAAAATAAAAGCGTCAACACCCATGATAATCGTCTTAACAAGCGCTGGAGGTGACTGTGTGCAGTTCATTTAGGTATCTTATGATATTGAGGCTCGTCCACGGGCTGTTAGCATATAATAAACATTAGATTCAACACTGCACTTCAAAAGCGTGTATCCTTCATGATGGCAACCCCACAAGGCGCACCCGATCTTTGCGACGTAAGTTGAGGTGACATTCTTGACACAACACCTTGATGTTATGCGTGCGCTGGTAACCCACTGTCCCACCTTTCTGCCTCATGATCAGCATCACAAACAAGAGACACGAATTTCATTAAATTCACATGCGTGTGAATTCTATAACAACAGATTCAGACATTTAAAAATAATTATTTTTGTTCTTTATTGGCTCTCATGGACACACAATCAGGGGCAGAATCTGCTCTCAGACCCTTTAAAAAAACCAAAACAACAACAACAAAAAGAAAGCAAACACAATTGGTAGTTTACAGGTTATGAGAGGTCATGTTACAATTAACGAGTTTAAAGAAAATCACCCACTGACTGTTTTTGATAATTAACTAATCAGTGAACCACTTCCAAGCTAAAGCGAAAACAGCTCCCCCAATCTTCCTCGGTGTGCAAATGTGCCTCTTGTGTCCGTTTATAGGTCATCACAAATGGATATGTAACATTTAGAGAAGACAAAATAGGATGGCCATTATTATTTTGTCATTTGCTGATATTTTATGAAAAAAAGTGAATTACAGGGAAAATAATGTGCAAATGTATCAATTATGGAAACTGCAACACTTATTCGTGTCTTTAAACAAAAGCTGAGCTAACACTTCATGTCTCTAACCCCTTCACACTGCGTCAAAGTGAATCGTGCACAGACAGCTGTCCCTTTAAAAACAACGCAAAGCCAGAAAGTCTATTGTTATCCACCGAACTGCTTCAGTTCTTGTTGTATTTATGTGGACTTTTTCAGGTGCAAGTCTCTTCAAAGGCATGGATAACAGTGTCATATGCAGGAGGGGGCGTCTGCGAGGGTAGAAAACCTTTAAGCCCATTGTTGCCCAGCCAGAAGGAATGCCTCTTGTTTGACACAAGCGATGCTGAATCAGATGAGTTTGAAGGTGCTGCATCCTCAGACACCTGGGTGTCATCTCCCATATCTAGGGCAGGCCTGCTCTTCTTGGGCAGTGGGCGAAACGTGGATGTCTCTGCACCTGGCTTAGTCCCCAGGGGGCCAACTGGCTCGAGAGAGGGCTGTCTGTAGACGCTCAAAAAAGTGCTTCGGTACAGGCCCAGCTGGCTGCTCGTGGCATCGTTTGTTTGTGAAGCGCCAGATTTCTTTTTGGAGTGCCTGGTGATCCTGGCTGTAGCCCGGCGCCTGGATGCCCAGGTCAGCAGAACGTAGATCAAAGCACCCAGCAGCAGGCCCACAAGCACAGATAAACAGAAGGCTAGAATCATATCGCCTGGAAACAGAGAAATCATGCAAAGTCTCAGAAAAGGGACTGCAGAGGGATAAAAAAAAAAATGGCTGGAAATATTTAGTTTAGAGGGAGATAGGATGGATTGTGTTGTTCTCATAATGGGTAAATTATATATCCAAATGGTAGTTTCAGGACAGGAACAGCTAAGATCTTAGAGTTGTTTTGAAATTTTCCTCCGGTGTATTGATTTATTGTTTCTGGGAAACGCTATACTGGGCTACGATGTTACATAAAACCTTACATCATACCTGGTGTGTGGGTTTTTTAGTCTGTGTAGTGTCAGTGTGATGAAGTGCAAACAGACCATTTCATTTATGACAAATGTATAAAAGATTTACTCAACATTTCCATCGTCATTCTTGTCCGAAACAATGGAAACTTTTAAAATCACATACTAAAATTGGACAGCCGCATAGAAAGCAATTCATATGTTATGTAAGACATCAAGACAGCTATGGCAAACAAAGCCTATCACAGATAAAAACATGTTCTACTATAGAAGAAAATATAAGAAACTCAAAGGGTGTATTTTAAGTGCTGTATACTTGCTGTTCTGACTCTGTCTACAGTAAAGAATTGCATCCAAGATACTTGAATAGTACTGAAGTAGCAGCAGGACTCTATTTTGGCCCCAGACCATTCAGTACTTGTTTGACTGATCCAAAAATAATGTGCATTTTAGTATTTTCTAGTGATCTAATTTTGGATTGCAGGTTTTTACTGTGAGACTGTGTTGAATCAAGGGAAGAACTATCACAGCTATATTTTAAAATACAAAACTTTGTACTTTTACACAGTGTAGGCTACAGCTTTGGGAAAGAAATGCAGATACACTCACCCAGATTGAATGATTTGTCTATTTCCAAAGAGGGATCCGTTTTATTTTGTGCCATTATTCCACTATGAGCCCAGTTCTAGATTCCACACAGACGGAGAAACACTGAGCTTTTTCCAAGACAGACTTTTTGCTTTTTCCCCCCTACAGTGTTTGCTGTGGCGGAAACTTTGCTGTCATGCTTCCTTCCCTCTCTGTCTTTAAAATTAGCAAATGCATTGCTTATCTGTGTGGGACATAACACAGGGAAACAAGCTCATTTCCTTTTACATCATTTCCTTGCGATCAATACTTTTTAACGAGCCATTATTGACACTTTTTTTTACATTTAAAAAGCAGGCCATGTTTAAGAGATCTATTACTTATGTAACAATTTTATTCAGATCATTCAGTATCATATAGAAAGTTTTTCATGGATTTTCAGGCAAGTCAGAATAAATAGTCTTTCCTCATATGCCTGAGAAAGTTTTCAAGTGTCTTGACAAGGTTCTGGATAATGAAAACCTAACCATCCGCTTAAGAGTCTGCAGGGTATCAAGCTCTGAGTCTCTGTGGGGATTTCCTTCAATTGTTGCTGTGTTCCCACTTCATTCCTGCCCTAAGAGCTTTCAGGCCAACAGCACAGCCTGAACCACAGCTCTCTGGAGCTCAGCACGTCTTTGTATTTTTGTGTTCCTCTGTTTTGTTTTCTAAGGTTTCGTTTCAAGCTTTCATTTAGTTAAAACGTGTTGTTTCTAGGTAAATGAGCTGATGCTCGTTTGTAAGACAGTCATGTCACAGAAAAGTCCAGTAGGTGGCGCCAGAGTACTTGTAATGAGTTTTATTTCGAGCACTTGGTTTGCACATAGGTTTTGAAACATATTAAGGTATGATAGTGTACAGACTTGCTTTCCTTTAGGGGACAAACAATTTTGTCAAGCAGTGGTTCGTGCAAGTCTCTAGAGAATAAAGATAAATTTAAATTTAGCACAAATGTGTGTTTGGTCGATTATTTCTTTGTAGTGACAATGATTCTTGGCTGTAGTGGGTGTCTGCTCTAAGCATGCCACGTTTAGGAAAACTTCAAGGTGGTGTTCCGCAAAATTTAGACATAAACACAAATTACTTTCTTTACTTTGATTGCTAAGTTTAAGTAATGAGCTCTGTGTCTGTTTGTATCATGAATTAAATGTAATACATGTAAACCAATACATGCTCATGCTTTAAGCCATTAAGTAAATGGCCAACGGCCTGTATTTGTAAAGCGCTTTACACAACCAGTCATCCACACATTCACACACTGGTGATGGCAAGCTACATTGTAGCCACAGCCACCCTGGGGCGCACTGACAGAGGCTGCCGGACACTGGCGCCACCGGGCCCTCTGACCACCACCAGTAGGCAACGGGTGAAGTGTCTTGCCCAAGGACACAACGACCGAGACTGTCCGAGCCGGGGCTCGAAGCGTCAACCTTCCGATTACAAGGCGAACTTGAGCCACGATCGCCCCTTACAAGTCACTTGCAAATGTTAATAAGCAGCCCTTTTGCAGAGCAGAAGTAATTAAACAGTCTACTGAGGTCCCTCTAAAGGTTCACGCTGGAGGAGGATTTTTTTTAACAATCTGGCAACCTGAAAATAGCTCTAGTAGCATATAAAGCAAAGCACATTAATAATTAATAAAGTAATTAATTACAGATTACAGATGATCTTTAATAGCCTTGTTTATTGATGTGCATGCACTGTATTAAACCACCACAGTGTGTTTCTTTCATTTATGCCATGCACTATTTGCTAACCATTTTAAAATGTTATCACTTTGCCATCGAAAGTAATTTATATTTAAAGGGCTATATACCCGGGAATCATCTGTGTTCTGCAGAAAAACAAACCCATTGTTCCTATTAATTAACAAACAAACAAATAGATTAGAATAGAATAGGAATGACAGGAACTTGACCACACTTTCCCGAACCCTCCTCCTGCAGCGTGTGGTGCAGCTTGTTGCCAGCAGTTTGCCGCTCAGCTTCTTGCGGTCGCGAACTTATAGGCGGCTGCAGCGCTTCACGCCACCATGTTTCATTTTCAGAGTTACCAATGGCAACGAGGCAACACACGCGCAGCACACAGGCACTTCCCCTGTGAAGTTACTGTGCTCTTCAGTGCTCAATGCGGTAAGATGAAATGTCAAGAAGCTGCTGCAGATTTCTTGATTGTTTTTGTTTCATTCATTTATCCTCCTGTTTAATTACCTGTATTTTGTGCGCTCGGGCGTTTTCGTGCTCGGTCTTGTGTGTGTTGCTTCTGTAATGTTAGTAACTTCCTCTCTTGTCGAACTCGCACATGCACATACATCAGATAGCCCTACAGCTCTGCTACTTTGATAGACACTAGTTAAGAGTAAAGTAACTTGCCGGTAGGATTAGTAACGCATGGGAGCTTTGGATCCAAAGCTTGGTGTCCAGCTAAATTAAAAATTTACTTGAGCTAATCTTAATTTACATTTCCTCAGTCGACAGTTTAACTTCCTTTTTTGTTTTAAAAAAACCTTTGCTTTAGATAAATGAAAGCATCGGCCAAGGAGAAACCGTTTTTAGCCGTTATATCTAAATCTGTATCTATGACTTCCCGCCAGTTTCTAAGTGCAGTCAAATTCAGTCAAATGTCTTCATAGTCTGTAGCTTACCTATCATGTAAGCAAATATTTAGCTGTTAGACTGTGTCATCATCCCCCCCCATTTGTAACACCTGTAGTCTTATAGGATCCTATATATGCATTTTCTTGAGAGTCAGAAAAGCACAAGTGTCACTAATACCATAAACCATGGCTCTGTTGTCCTTATACGTGTGCCTTCCTGGCTGTGATGCAATAATATGTTTAGTTATCTGTGAAAACATAGGAAACTAAATGCAGTCAAGTATTATTTTGAATGAATTTGCC